ACACATGCTAGGTTTCCAACGTCCGAAGTATGTTATCCCAGATTTAGCTGGATTGAACGTTAACTGCCACTTTTCACTCCAATTACATAGACTATTTAGGTCTTCTTGGATTTTACTAACAATATTCATATCATTATAGTCAAAATCATAGACAACTTTGAGGTCATCTGCAAAGAGGTATGGCTTGCCATACTTGATCATAGAGACAATATCATTTATGAATACAATGAATAGGGTAGGGCCAAGAACACTACCTTGTATCACGCCGCTGGTTATCGGTTTGGATGTTGATAAGTGATGGTTGACTTTAACTAACTGTTCTCTTCCTGTAAGAAAGGAAGTTATCCACTCAAGAAGCCTTCCACTTATTCCATAAGATAGGAGTTTCAGTATGAGTCTTTTATGTGGGACTTTATCAAAAGCTTTCCTAACATCTAGAAATAATGTTGCTGCCGAACGACCTTTGTCTACACATTCAGTAATGTGATCGAAATAATCTAACTGGCACGTAATGCACGATCTTCTATTTAGGAAACCGTATTGGAAAGGGGATATTAAGTCATTCGAGAGCAAATACTGAACAATTTGCTTCTTTACAATCTTTTCCATCACACGTGAAACTACGGAAGTAATGTTGATGGGGCGGTGGGATGCAACATACAGGCAAAATTGCTCATAGGTTGATTGACACTATCTTTTACTAGTTTCAGAATACCATCGAACTTTGGCTGAATACCTTCATCCTCTATACGAGAGCTTATCTTCACCCAATTCCTTTGCAGTCGAGTAGGTGGACGTCTCGCTATTACCTCTAGGACGGAACCTGAGTTCAGATCGCTCATGCAATTCATCGAAATCAACGTATTCTTGCACTTCATTAGGTTATCCAAAAACTCAGTGAGTGCCTTGGAGTCATCTTTTAATTGACTACCATTACCCTTAACAGTCTCGAATACATTCCTTACAATCATCGAAGGTCTTCCGAATCTCTGACGCAGAATACCTATCGCCTCAGTATTTCTTTCGTTCTGGGCCATAACCTTACAGCACCGTATAGCTCTCGCATCAACACCAGCGCAGTACCTCAACAAATACATTAAATTCGTTTCGTCATCTACTGCAAAACCACTCACCATGACCTCAGACCCCTTGATAAACTGTGGGCAGTCGGCCGGTTTTCCATCGAAACGCCAGGACTAAAATTTAGAAATTTTAAAATTTCTGTTATCCCTAGAACTCGGAACATGGTCATCAATCTTATCATGCTTAAAATCACACATATCATTGCATATTATGGGCAACTCAGCATTACTTACTTTCCTGTCTGCTTCCAAAGCGCTTTATCCTCTCTTTGACCCATGCATCATTGAACTTGACCGAAATTCCAGAAAAGTTCCTGATAAAGCTTGTTCAAGGAAGACTTAACCAGCACCAGGAAAGATAAACTAAATGTATTCAGAACTGTCATAAACACTCAGTCATTCTCTGTAAGCTCTTGCTACGCTGGGCCTGACGCTTTCCGTCGAATATTTTCCGAAACGTTTGGTATTTACCGACGCATAAATCAAAACACTGTTTTGCGACTGGAGAATTTTTTATTCTAACGCCAACCTATAACCAGCAATACTGGTATTATTGAGTACATTCTTAGAACAAATATTACAGCAATAAATCACGATGTTACTTCCGACAGCTTTTTAACCTCCCTTCTGAACAGCGACCGATGAGAAGATGACTAGTGTGTTAATGACTCTCGCGAAAAATATAGGGAAGTTGGGCTTGAGCAAACAACCATGAAGTGATCGTTCAATCTGCAGCTACATTGACACATACCGTGATCATTTTGACGTTCGTGCAAAGTCTGAATCATTTGTCGCTGTTGTAACTAGATGAGTGTCTGCAAAACTCCAAGGACTTGTGAATAATGTTGAAAGCTTGTTAACAGGTTTACCATGGAGTTGTACATTTAAAAAAGTTAATTTCTTACAGCCAGATTTTACTAGTTTGGATGTAGTGATGTTGGCAACTTCTGGAATTCCTGTTGGAACTTGCCAATGTCCAGGACTTACTACACTGCACCTCACGCTGTCCCCGGAAGACTTTCAGAAACAATGTGTAATAACCAACGCGAAAAACCAGAACTCAGATTGGCGACTGGAGAATCCTTTATTCTTACGCCAATATGTAACCAACAATAAGGTTATTATGCACAAGGCCTAAGAATAAATGTTATAACAATAAATCACAATAATACTTCTAGTAGTTTTTCTCCGTCTTCCAACGGACAGCGAACGATGAGACGATGACTGTCGTATTGATGGCTCCCGCGAAAAATATGGAGTTGGTTTGAGCAAACAACCATGAATTGATCGTTCAATCTTCAACAACATTAACAGATTGCTTTCCAGATTCTTTTAAATTCTTAATTCTTATTCATTACATTGTCTCATTCACCTGCAACTGAACATGATTTCGAAAACTTTTTTGCGGACGTTTATCCTTTAGCAAAAGTCAAAATCAGATTCCCCAAACTTGGTGAACACGTCCACGAAATATGTTTTGCTCATTCAGAGTGTTACTCCAACACTGGCGGGCGATTATATGGTACATCCGCTATTAGAAGTGGCGCATCAAGCCTTACCTTGATGGCATTTGCGCGGTTCTCTCGATTCGAGTTGGGGCTAGTCATCCGGGTAAACGCAGCTGACTTGGTTTTGGAGCTTATTTTACTCTTGTTGGGTGAATTTTTATGAAAATTGTTGTTCGATATTGTACTTGAGCATTTACGTATTGCTTGTGTGGCAGGACGCTTAAATATATGGTTCATACAATGATTATTTGGCATACTGAGTAAGATTCGCGTACATTTCGACGACTGTCTTTTGATGAATTTCTTTGCAGCTTGGCGGAAACCTGTAGTCGATCGTAAATTTCCCTATCAGCTATTGTGCAGTACGTATTTCTGTTGCAGGAACCGAAGAATATGGTTGATATCGAATTCGTGCATGCTTCCGGATATTTGTGTGGCGTTTTGATCTCAAAAAGTAAATGGAATGCATAGATACAAGCGAAGATTAGTGATCACAACTGGGCAGAAACTCCAATATGTTTTACGATCACTCACAACATTCACAGCTTTCTGCCAACATTTTTGAATGAGTTAAACGCACACTAAAACATTCTAGTACTTTGTAGGATTTCAATACCATCCTCGTGTCAATGTAGTTGAAGATTGAACGATCAATTCATGGTTGTTTGCTCAAACCAACTCCATATTTTTCGCGGGAGCCATCAATACGACAGTCATCGTCTCATCGTTCGCTGTCCGTTGGAAGACGGAGAAAAACTACTAGAAGTATTATTGTGATTTATTGTTATAACATTTATTCTTAGGCCTTGTGCATAATAACCTTATTGTTGGTTACATATTGGCGTAAGAATAAAGGATTCTCCAGTCGCCAATCTGAGTTCTGGTTTTTCGCGTTGGTTATTACACATTGTTTCTGAAAGTCTTCCGGGGACAGCGTGAGGTGCAGTGTAGTAAGACCTGGACTTTGACACAATCGGAATGCAGGATTTACAATTAGTTATCATGGACAGAAGGTGTAGTATGAATGCGTCAAATCTCTTCTACCAAAACTGACATACATTTACCCGAAGCGGGAGACGACGCTAGGTAACCTGAAATTGTATACAGAGCACATGCATTAAAACGAGACCCATTAGGCTCTGCTTGCCTGGAATACAGTGATACATGTAATCGCGAACACAGTGAAAATCGGTTTACGGAGGAGGGCGGGCTAACGGTGCTACTAAAACAGGGGGCTCGATTGAGACCGAACGCCTGCGAAATTCCAGCTAAGCGAGAGGCCAACGAAAGTTGTTTGCAAGTAATACCTTGGTCTCTTTGTCATGAGGTTACACGAGGTTGAATGCAGGTGCAATCAGGACAGCTGACCTCTTGAGCCAAAGCACGAACGGGGCAGACATGAGAGATGTCGCAAATTATGTGCCGAAATGTTTGCAGTATTAGATGAAGGGAGGGATAGGTGATAACGACCGTCCCCTCAATCGATTCCACTTACAGTAGTAGGCGAACTGTGGCCTTTTCCATAGAAGTCAAGAGGCAAACAGTGCCTTAGTTATCGCTCACTATGTGCACTTCAGTTTTCTTTAGCCAAAAACTGGACAGCGCATTATAAGAAGAAGTTCCTAAAGAGCTTCTTACCTCGCATATCAGGGCTTGAAGGTGAGTAGTGATCATCAAATAACGCTAAGTAAACACGAATAGCTAGGTAAGAGAAATATGAGGTGAAACTTTGTATAATGTCGATTAAAACTTCCGAATGAAGGATATTCAATTTGTAATTTTTCTCGAAATGCATTTTTCAGCAACATGGCGCTTCTGTACTGGATCCTCAGAAGCAACCCATCAGCCAGTAGCAGCAGGTCAGTTCAAGCAGTCAGTAAGTTATATAATTAATACACATGTCTATGTATATTAATTATATACTATACTAACTATTATTAACCATACATTTACTAAAGAGTGACATGTCACACAGCTGCGAATTCCCTGAGCAATGCTCCTAATTAGTCACCTCTAATATAATAAAAACCTCGTCGCAAAACGCCAGTGATTGCATTTCATACTCTGAGGAATGAATTAAACCAACAGAGGAAGGTTAAACTGAATAGGAATTTCTAAGCCCAATATTTGGCGGATGTTGTAGCAGACACTTACAGAAAAGTGGAGGGTGGGTGTTGGATAAAAAAAATTTATGCCGAATTTCCTAACGGGATTACTTACCACAAACTTTCTAGCAACGTCAACATACAATTGCTCAGTGTGTTTTATAAAGCTTCAACTTGCGAGTTATTATTAAGACCTTCATGCACCTGAAGCCTCTCATCAAAGTCAGGAAAGAAGTCTGAATTATCTGATATTATTTATACTAACTTGCCACCAACGTATTGATAATCGGATTACTCACTAGGACATCAAAAGAGCGAGGTTTGAAGTTGGCCGAATGAGCGGCCCTTCAAGTCCCGCAGTATGTTTTTCCCGTTTTTTCTGTACTTAATATTACTTTTTGGAGATATTAAGCGATGTTCTTCGCACTCAGTAGTTACCGTTCAGCATGGGATATTTACAAATATCACCATCAATGGGTTGGTCTATGTTGAAGTCCAAAATATTCCTCTTGGGAGCAGATTTGTTGTGTATCAGCTTCACAGCCCATTCAACCCACTTTTAGTGTCACTGTCTCCATCATTCACGTATGATTCGTTACAGTTTTCAGCCCACAGTGGTCTAGCCGGCTTTGTGGAGAACAAAACTACTTCGACTTTCTATGTTTATTCTTCGTATACTCTCCCAGTCAAAGCATGGGTTAAAGCTGTTGCATACGGACCAGAGTGTATGTCTAAGTTACTTCTATAAATCTATTGTTGTAGTTCCCGTACCAGGGGGTTGTGGAGGTGACACTCAGAGTGGGATCATAAATACAGCTGTTACTACTGACATAATAACTAAAAATATAAATTTTTCAGGATTGACTTCAAATCGTGTTGACTTACTGAGCTACTGGACATCTTCCCTCCGATTTTTTGCAGCTTCTGTGCCCAAAGAATCTGGGGGTTTTGCATGTCCTAATCTAAACGTTTCGGATGAACATCCTGGCGACCTTATTTATCACGTATTCAGTACACCTTTAATAACTGCTGGAGGCGCGTATGGGGCGTTTATAGATCCTAATCCAGATGAAGTTGCTGTGGTCATAAATGGAATGACGGATTTCGGACACACGTCATTCGGGGGCACTTACATACGGTCCTTCCGTCTCAGGTGAGATTATTATATCTAGCTAAATTTCTTAGTTCTGTTGGGTGCACACCGACTAGTTTTTTTTATATTTTTTTTTATTTACAGCTTGATTCCACGCTGTATTTTTGGTACAAGTATGGAATTTTCAGCATGGATATCGGTAGCCCAAATTTTGCAGACCGACCATAGATATCAGGTGTGCGCCGGCGTGGGCTCGAACCCCGGACCATGGCATGGTCGGCGAGAGTCCTAACCACTGTGCCACCACACGCTTCCACTTTTAAAATTTTTGAACAGTCAATTATGTATAAATTCTATGTATCAGCTCTTAAAGTATTTTGTCCGTTTTATTATATTGTTCAATGAATTATTTCCAAGAAATGCAGTTAATGAATTAGTTTTCAAAAAATCCTAGTGCTATTCTTTTACTGATGAAAACAATGTACGAGAAGTGTTAGTTTGGTGTGGGTAACTGTGGCTGTTGTGAAACGCAACACCGAAGCCGGTATATGAAGGATTACGATAATAAAAACAGGGGAGTAAACCTACAAAAACAAGTCAGGAAGTTGTATGAATACATTTATGTACTACTATAAAAGATTTTGTATTTCTCAATGAGTTCAACACAAAACGACATTGTTCTCATTCATTGGGAAATACAAAATCTTTTTTAATGGTGAATATCATATACCCAATGCCTAAATTTTTTTAATTGTTAAAAGTGAGATAGGTATATATATAATATATATATATATATATATATGCGTTATCAAGTTATTACTGTATCACTGTGTTGAGTCAAATGAACTGATTATGGATAATTCATATTTCTGGAACATTTGGTTGTTCTCATTACTTCCAAACGTATACGCATAAGTAAAGTCCGCACCTCAAGGACGTGTACTTGTAGTTAACCTAGTATTTTACTTTTCTTATGAACTTTTTTCCTCTTATGAGGTGGACTTCCGGTTTTGCGATACTAATGTAAGGGTAAAATGCAGACACTAGATAAGTAATAATGTGTTTGTGGCAGTTACAAACAACCTAATTAATGTGAGCTTTACGCAGATATATTTTATTTCGTTGATTTTCAGCAGCATGCAAAGTAAAGGTAAATAGTTATAGGATGCATTTTTAAAAGTAATATAATTGTCTTATCAACGTAGAAATTTATTCACAATGTAGCAACCCAATATGCCATATATCGAAGAGTTACTCATAAACCATAATATCCAAATATTGTACAACTGGTGACATCCATATCACTGATAAGAAATTGCGTATGCAGTCAATCGAAACTAACTAACAAGTCTTTTTTTTTTACATTTTTTCAGTGAGCTTCCTTTTGATGATCAATTTATGTCTAACGTGCTTGTATCACGCCGTCCAGCTACCGCATATATTGTTTCTGTTGTTGTGGAGTACTCAGTTTCTGGTGGCACCTGGAAAGTGCCCTACGTTCCCGCAGTTCTTTTTGGATGTCGTGCTGAAACTTTGTCACGCTTTTATCGTGTTGGATACAACCAACCCGCTTTAAATGCCAGTTCTCATGTAGACTGTGGCATTCTTCCTAAAGATACACCAATTATTCTGTTCCCCATTGCTGTTTTACTTCTTGCGAGCTTTCTGTACGCCACTTCCTGCAACATATGGATATGGCCCCGTAAGTTTGTCATTTTTAGAGTAGTGACTTCTTGTGTTCGAGATAATATATCTGTAAATATATGTGTACTTCCTTACGTTTCAACAAAGTTACGCTTTATCTATCTATCCTATGTATCTATCCTATCAGTGTCTATAAGGACTAATCGTGGTAAGATGTACTTGATGAAAGTTTAATTGGTAACATGATACGTTTTCTATACTCATTTCCTCTCACCTTATTCTGGCCAGTGTCATCATTCAACATTAGCGATTACTAAACTTGTCTGAAGTTAGAACTGAGTTATTTGCTACAAATTTTCCATGTATCTGACTATGAGGTACACATTGTTTCAGGCTCAGGTAGATAGGTCGGGATTCAAATCCTGGACCCATTGAGTAAAAGCCGAGTGATAAGTCACTGAAAACAACTTAGTTACTGTAGATAGTAACGTTTCCCACTTTATCTAGAGATTATGTTTTATTTCAAATCTACATGTTATTGATCTAGTGATTACGTAGATTGCAGTGGAATAACTCTTGTGACTTACCAACGATCTCATACTTCATACTTCAAATACTACCATTGTTTTTGTTGTCGACTTCTTTTTTTGAGACTGCAAAAATCTTCTCAAAGCTTGTAAATGTCGTTAAATACATCTCGTTTCGTCATAGTTTCTCCTGGTAGGACAATGTCCTGGTGAATAGACACGCGGTTATGTATAGTCTCAATGTATTCTACTTTTTTATCAATGGTTACGGAAGTGAGTTCAGCTTTCAAGACCAGTGTATTCACACATTAAATAGATAAGTCGGTCAGCCCTCACATCCAGTGCCTCCTTTGTTAATGCGTGTTTGCATGTATATTTTGTGGTTATCGCATTTTCTCACCCCAAGGACACTTGTATTCTGTTAACTATAAAACAACACTGTATCACCCAATTGTTCATTCACACTTTTCTGACTAAACACCCTATACACATTTAATTGACTATGCTAACTAGTGGACTACCATCTCAACTTACACATGCAACCCAATATAGATTCTGATATTATTTTCATTTGCCTTTATTGGCTATATGTACTCAATTATTCATGGATTTATAACTGTAGAGCCTGAAGAAGAAGTTATCGAAAACAATTGTCCGCTCAAAATCTTGTTTTGATTTCAATATGGAGATTTTTCATTTACTGAAATAGATAAGTGTCTAGATCGTTAATTCGTCCTTGTTTTTAACAGGTGCGCTAAACGGTGTGAACAATTTGTTTCATGTAAAACTAATTCACTGATACAGTAGTATAAGACTTAGCACAAAAATGCATCACTTCAAAATGTAAGTCAGAAATTAGAGAAAGCGAGAGAGGACTAATTAATTTTCGTTTTATTGTAAAACCTTAAATCTCTAAATATGTGTCATATCTCTGCACCACTGCATAAGGAATATTGTGTAACCTGTTTAAATAAGGGTTTTGTGAGACATTTGAAGTGAAAACTAGAGCCGCTATTTGAAATAATAGGGTTATGTGAACAGAAATCCACATATATCACCGCTTAACCATCAAGATCATTCACTTGACTGCTGTTTGAGCTCAGTAGATCAAATTCGTTGACATGAGGGCAAAAATGTAGGTATTTAATATAGGTAATAGAGTATCAATGCACTTCTTTAATTCTTCGGTTCTTCTTAGGAGAATCGGATACTTTTAGATTGTTTGTTACTATTGTGAGTTGGCAGAAGTGTGGTGTTGTTTTTGAATGTTATTTATACTTAGTTTTTTAAATTACATTGTTTCAGGTTGTGCTGTCAGCATGATGATAATGGCTTCCGTTATTGGATTAATATTCTTCTACAGATTCTCAGATGATTACAGTAACAGTGAGTAGTTTTTATTTATAAGTTAATCAATTTTAAGCTTTAATCAAGTGGTTTTTATTCGTCCCTAACGGAGACAAATTCTGTGATTATACCAAGTGAGAATTATAACTTATAATGACGAAAAATTATATTTATTTGTCATCAGTTTTTGTTAAACTGTATCGTTTTAAATATCCTTTTCTTCTTTTCTTCACCATAGCTAAATTTTTAGTTTGTGGGTTCTCATGTCATTGTTTCATGAACTTTTGCAAAAAACAAGATATGTGAAGATTTCGTTAGGAAATGAAATTAGTTGGAATGCCGTTAAAACTTATAGCACTGGGTAAACTATTCGTGACAGTTTGTGACTCTTCAATAGTGCAAGGTCTCTATCTCTCTCATTCGATAATTAGGTTAGAATTCAACAGCCCGTAGCTTGCGATTTCTGTCAATTCACAATATAATGACACTATTTAATGTCGACAGTGAGTGAATTGTCTTTACATTTAGATTCTCGTTAAAACTTCAGCAAATAAAGCCGAAATCCAGTTACTAAAGAATATTTCGTTAACTGTCGGGAATTGAGTTTTGTGGATATTTTAATAATTTTAAGTTCATCATTCACTAGGTTTGATTTCCTCAAAACCGATTTTGTAGTTGAGAGGGCATGTATTAAAATTCAATATATTTGTTAACAAAATGTATATACTCGGCAATTCGAAGTATGACGAGCTGATAGTGTCCCATCAGTCTGGGAGTAATTAAACGTATGTAAACAAATATAGGGAGAAAGTGGAGATGGACTGAACACTCACTGAGGTGGCCGCTGGGTGACATCGCGCGTCAGGCCCTCGAGTGGAACCCGAAAGGGAAGTGGCGAGTGGGACGTCAGTGCAAGGGTGACATGGAGGAGATCGTGTGAAGAGGAGTTGAAAGAGTATGGACTAACATGGATGCAGGTGAAAAGTACAGCAGAAGGAAGACAGAAGTGGCAAGTGGAGACGTGCAGTTGAAGCTCTATGCTCCACTAGGAACCCAAGGAACAATAATAATAAACAAATATAGGAAAAGTCATGAGAAATATTAGCCTGTTAATTACTGAATTGTGTTAGTATTCGATGGTGTTGCACTTGTCAGATTTCTTAAATCACGTGAGAATTCATTATATAAATATAGGAGCAAACTGTGTATAGCAGATTCATTGATAACCTACTCAATCTTCAACTGATGCTTGAATTTCATTTTATATGTTGTAAGCCAGAAACACGTGTATTTGTTGGTATCAAGACTATCTGCTCTCTATTCAACAAGATTAAATTTTTGAGTTATGCGTTAAAATGTGTTTCTAAGAAGTTAGTCGATATTTTTAAGTCAGGTACAAAACGTCTCAGGCTAAGCAGAGTGATAAACAATATTTTGTTTCAAATTGTAACTATTGATATAAGTATAAAACTTGGGAACTGTGGTAGAGTATAACTCCATTATAGATAAGATTTTATTTTGATAAATCACACAGTGTTATACAGTGATATTAACTGATGACGTTTCGAGTACAAACTATTGCTCATAATCATATCAAGTTACTCACACAACTTTTTTCCTTCGTTTATATACATATGTGGAATTGATTAGATATTGGATTAAAAGTCAATGTGAGATAATGTACATTCAGAAATAATAATATGATTGTTGATCAATTAGAATCACATGGGAAATAAGACGAGTGTTTTTATAGTCAAAATAAGTTACTTGTTAGAATGTTGTGATGTGTTTTAATTGAAATAAAATTTTATGATTATTTATTATCCTCTTCTGATTTGACTGGCGATAATAATATCTTCCATATTACTGGTATTTGCATCGAGTCATTTCTGTTGCATGTGTTGAGTGTAGACTCGATGAACAAGGATTCAGTAATCAATCTCTCTCTCCACCTACATGGATTATTTCTTATAATCTTAACCCTTTCCACCCTACTGTGTGGTTTTGTGTTAATGTATGTAATGCAATTGCTGAGCTTTTTTTATAAATTACTCTTCCTCTCGGGGTCAACCATTCTTACTCTCGATCTACCAGTTTGACCTATACAGTTGACCTCACGGTCGTTGCTTAAATTGGGTCCACTGGGTCTTTTAGCCTACAGAGCTTGTCTCTGAGTGAGTTTGTAGGTTTGAATGCCACTGTAATTCCTGCTTTATTAAGAATCCTACGTAGGGTCTCAGATATCCCCTCCTTACGTGGTACAACATGACTTATTCTCTCTTATTTATGTTATCACTACTAGTTTCACAATTATTTTAATCTGCTTTTGGGCTTTTTCAATCTTCCTAATGAATTTCGTAAATTGTAACTGCCATTTGGCATGGCTATTCGACTCAGGTCTATGCCTTTTTCTTCAGCTCCAAGTGTTTATCTTTATTCCTGTCAGTGATTGCATAGTTCTTTAGAAGATATTCCTGTTATCAAACTAGTTGTAGAAGGTCCCCAAATTTCAGATAGATATGCAAACGAATGTAACGTTTAACATCTAAAGCTTACAGTCAGATGTATTGTGCACTGATTATATTGGTTTCTATGGTAAAAGGTTGTAGTCCGTTGCATCTGCTTTTTTGCAGCAAAATAAGTAGATGCAAATTCATTCGTCTCAGTAGTTTGAAGACTAATTTATTATAGTGAAAGTCAATTTGTAATGAATAATATTAATCATAAATTTATCAAGCACAGTTTATATTATGTAAATATTTATAATTACAATAGGGAATGTCTGCGTACTTAATATTACAAAATTTTCAGGTAAAAGGTCTTCATCAAACTCCATCAGAATTACTTCTATAATTCTTTCTCTGTACACTTTACGTATTTACAGGGTATATGACAGTAATGTGTAATCTGAAATAACAACATTTTGGAAACATAAAGAATATTCAAAATACAGAACTAGACAAGTGTTTAAATTTGTTAGTCGTACTTCCATTTTTATACACAGTGTCGACTTTTGTCATTTCCCCTTGATTTTTCTCTTGCAAATAATTTCATTATTTTCATGTTTTGAATAGCCCGCGTTATTTTAATCTCAAGTGCCTTACTGCCAGCTTTGTTTGCCCTATTCATATTTGTAATACTTTGGTGGCGTTGTATTCGTCCTACTTTGCATTATCGCCGTGTGTTTGGGCGTGGTCCACTAGTAAAGGTGGGAAATACCACATCTGCTCTTGTTAATGAGCCTTGGAATTCAGATGTATTGGATTATAATCATGCAAATGTCAGTGGTCCATTTGAATGTGCATCACAAGCTGAACATACATCAACGAATACTGTTAATGTATTACCTCTATTGAATGAAGAAGAGGCTAACATTAGTATGTTGCGATCAGATAATAATTCAGTATCCCAGCATTTAGTAAACCGATATAACAATTCAAGCAGTCTTAATGATCTTACTAGTAATGATGATATCGACAGAGATGAAAATTATGTTCGGATTTATGGTATTCGACTTTTTCGCAGGCCTAGAGATTGTTTAAAATGCCCAAACAGTTCATCTGGCCCATATAAACTCTTTGACTTACGACCTCGTCGTCTTGCTCGCCTGCCGCCTATTTTACCTGCAACATTTATCTTCATCGGTTATCTCTGTATATCTCTTGGTAAGTGTTATGAATTTTGTTTTACTTTTGGTTTACAGTATTTATTTCACATTGAAATACATTTTTACCGTTAACATGTGTAATACATTGTTCGCTTTCATGTTTGCTTGCTATCAATAAGTAGCACACTTTCTTCTCTTGCTTTGTGTGTTACATGGAGTGTGGCGACTTGAACTGTCGCACATGGGTGCGAAGTTCTATGTCGAAAACAGACAGACAGACATCAGTAAGTTAATTAAGAATTAGATGATTCAGTTAAATCTTACTGTTAGCGTGAATTTAAGACTTTTCTTTTCCCTTCAGCGTGTGGTTTCGTATAATTGTCACTATCATATTTGATTTGCTTTTCTTTTTGTTCACACTTGCTTTGACCTACTTTCATAAAGTGTGGTTTTCATGTTATCTCTTGTTACTTCAGTAATATTGTTTCAAAGTTAAGATAACTTGAAAGCTGAATTTACCCAATATGTTGATTTAAAATTATCGGGTATTCATTCAGTGTACATCGCTTTACATCATGTTTCGTAGGTGTGATTTATATTTTAATAGATTTAGGTCTGTAGCTAAATTGTGTCATCTGTAATATCTGTTGAAATCGTTATTTTCAGATAACTTTCAAGACTATCCTAGTGAATACACTTGTCACATGGGAGCTTGTTGAGCATGAATACTTATTAAGTAATTTATTATGCTCTCCTTTACGCTGAGAGAAATTGGCATTAATTGAAGTTACTTTTAAAGTCGTTTCCATTTTTCGCATCAAATGAACATGATGCAACGGGTATTCCTGCTGCAAGCGTTCATAAAAATGTTCATATTCATACAGCTGTCAACACATGGGATCGATATATTGAAGCATACTTATTTTAAACTCAGAATATTCAGTCACTGTTGTCTTAGGTTTTGTTATTACTGGGGGGGGGGGATTAAGTATTTCGTGATTAGAAGCGAAGCTATCATATTCAGCATAAAGGAGGTAAAAAAGCTTAGAAGGAAGCCAATTTTTTGTGATGATACTATGTTTTGCATGTGATCGATTGCCATATCCTCTTGTAATAGACTTTTATCCTGAGGTATACTCAGTGACGACATATTCCAAAAATTTCCTGATCAGGACTTTATCAACCAAATGTTATTAAAAGTATTGTATCACGGAGGTTGTTGTATTACTCGTGCAACTGACTGGTTGTTTGGTTGGTATAACTGGCTTAAGCTGACAATGGTAAACCTGTAGTTTCTACTCTTTAATACTGGATCCGAGTGATCTGTGATCACAGAAAAAATTTCTTACACAAGTTCTAGTTTAAATTCCAGAACATAGATCAACTTGTCATCACTACATTTGTTACTTATCCTTTCTGCATGGTGAATGTA